CAGCTCTTTGACCATCTTTCTTCCCCTTTGCTTCATTACAAAGAACCCATTAGAAAAACAGCCTCTTGATTCAAGACGCCACTTTGGTGAGTCGCTTGTTTGCTTTCCTTTTTCACACAAGCAATCCGTCCTCCTCCGCCCTATTGTGAAGACGCAAGTAACCGCCAGATTGTGACACGCCCTCAACAAAAAAAAAAAAGAATCGTTAGAAATATATGCCTCACATCGTCCTGGACACAAGAAAGAAGTTTCCAGCCATAATGCAACTGTCAAGAGCTGACTAGGATACAAAGAAACTTCCGACCATTGTTGTCGTGCTTAAACTTGACAGCGCCTGCAGTCTGCTCCTAGCACAGGCGTGCACCGCACGTTTTCAGAGTCAGTAACCGATATCTTGAAAGGTTAAAATAACATAGCCCACATAGTCCTCTCTTACCATTAGCATTCAAAAAGGATAAACTTAATAATTAAAACCACATTGAGAAGATGACTTGAGTTCGTCAGTTAGCCTTGCCAAAACTTTGGCTCCAGTGCCTTTGGTTGTTGGATCCTCGTCCTTCTTTTCAGACCTTTGTCTTCTTTTGAAATTCTTCACAGTCCTCTGTATAAATCCTATTCTCTGCAGACAAAAAGTGAAATTGAGAATATAGACTGACTTTTGAAAAAAAAAAATGTTTTTACAAATCACCACACGGCATAAATTAAAAAAAATGCTTCCATGTACCTGTTTATAGATATACAGAGAAAATTCATACAATTCTCATTAAAAGTAAAGCTTCTTAAGTTCATCCTCTTATGGTACTGGAATACGGGACCTTAGTGATTTTGATGGGGTCCGTTTGCCATGTGAGCTAACAATGAATACAGCATAATGCGACGCGAACGACAATTAATCGAAAACTAAAGAAATCGATTCTTCATCGATTGATTTGGTTGAAGTGTGTTCGTTAACCTGATACAGGAACCGTTCCTTCGATACAATCAGCATGGCATTGTTCATGCGTGATTGCCCGGTGTCGGTGAGAGCTGCGGTGTGTGCCTCTCGTTTCTTTTAATCAGGAACTTCAGTACCTGTATACAGATGATGTTCATTGCTTGAACGTGCTTGCAATTAGCCAGGTGAAGTTGTGACTGGTTACTCCAGTTTTGCGCCTTTTGCGGACTACTTACGATTACGTGATGGGAAATGATGTCTTGTCAGAAGGTGTGACAACGAGAACGCCAGTAAATTTTTCCACAGTCATTGCTCATTTAGCCTACACAGACGCCGGCATGCCTTATAGGTTTGCATTTGTAACGACGCCTAGTATTTCACCGCATTGGTGTGTGTGTGTGTGTGTGTGTGTGTGTGTGTGCGTGCGTGTGTGTGTGTGTGCGCGTGCGTGTATGTGTGTGTGTGTGTGTGTGTGTGTGTGTGTGTGTGTGTGTGTGTGTGTGTGACATTTTCTTCGTTGTTCTTGAGAGACAACGCCTTCAACCATGTTTTCTCGAACTCCATTATGTATTCCCGACGCAGGTTCCTTTCGTTTCGTGGGTGCGTTAGAGCCTCAAATGTCCGTCCTTATTTGAACTGGTTTGTGCTGTGTTTGGTGGTTAGTATTTCCCTTTGATGCGTTCTAATAGAAATATCAGAGTTCGCTATGTATTTGTTGGCTGAAGTCTCATCAACTATTTGACCTACTCGATTAATGCCTGTCAAAGGTCGCTAGCAGAGGCTTCTATTAAAGTGAATGCTGAAACACACGAGCAGTTTGAAGACTGCTCTGGGGATTATCTCAGTCTTGTTCCTCTTCCCATCATTCAGTACCACGTATAGGGCCCCTGCGCATTCATGATGTGCCATTGCCTATTCAGACCCCGGCGCTTATACTCCGTTTCTTAGATGTTGCATGTTATACGGGGGTCACCGTTGCTTGTTTCTGCATGCATGCGCCTGGAGCTACATCTTTATATAAAAAAGCGCAGCGTTGTTACCACGGGCATGCTGTTACCTTCCGCTGTTAGTTCGGCGAAATCTCCAGAGGAGAATGTCTTCTCGTCCATCTTTAAGTAATTGCCCCGCCGCGGTGATCTTGTGGCCAAGGTACTCGGCTGCTGACCCGCAGGTCGCGGTGTCGAGTCTCGGCTGCGGCGGCTGCATTTTCGCCTCCATCAAAAATGCTGTAGGCCCGTGTGCTCAGATTTGGGTGCACGTTACAAAAGCTCAGGTGGTCGAAAATTTTGGAGCCCTCCACTACGGCGTCTCTCATAATCATATGTTGGTTTCGGGACGTTAAACCCCACAGATGAATCAACAATCTTCTGAAGTAATTAACGAAACAATCAGTGACACAAACGGATGCCTGTCGCACGAATGCACATAAATATTAGACGCAGCTTCCAGCTTTATCTTGCCGGCAGCGGCGAGGTCACAACTCTAGTTCTAAGCGACACACTCTTCTGTTACGCCGACCAAAGCGCGTTGTTCAGTGGGAGCAAGAGAGAGATGGCGTGTCGAACGGCTATTGTTTCCTCCTCTCCCGATTATTGTTGTTGTTGTCGTTTCCGACGCCATATATAATTGGTGCCTGGTAACAACAAGAAAGACATCGCTCCTTGGCTTGTCTGTGTGTTTATTTATTTAGTTACACACTCTCTCTTTCTGACTCTGACGTAGAGATCTCCGGGAAATTCAGCTGCGGGGCCACTATTCAAGCGGTGAGCAGCTGGAAAGTGTTTCACGCCTAGCTGCTAGAAAATAGGGGAGGGGGGCTCATTTTATCTTTCCATCAAAACCAACGCTGTCTTTTTTTCCCATTCTCTGTTCGGTTCACGTTTCTTTATAGTTTTATGTTAACTCTGCAAATATTCCCCGTTATATTCGAGCACACAAACACAAAAAAGGTCTCCCCTCCTTTTTCATTCAGTCTTATTCCTGCACACCCCTCTTCACGTCTTTGTTGTGTCACTCACACGCTATTCGGGGCATTTGCAGGTTGCATGGTCCATCACACAAAAGGCGGCGTTGGTAGGTTTGCTCGGGCACTATAAGATCTTTCGTGTAAGGCATCCTGCGAGTCTTGGTGAGGGCTCGCGCGGAATTTTTTTCCCATTACGTCTATTTAGTGGTTTATTTTTCTCTTATTTTTCCTCTTCCTCGTGCTCACGGAGTACATGACGGCTCTTCGTTTTCCATCTGACGCGTAGCCAGAGCTCGCCGTCACTCTCGTCTCGCAGTTATCGTCGCATGCTTCTGTAAACGAGCTGGCTGCCTGCTTTCAGGTCTTGATGAAGTAGCCTGCGGCAACCTGTGGCACTTTGAGGATTGAAAGCTACTCGAAATGTATAGTGTACGGCACTTGTTTTTGGTGGCCTTACTCGTATGCTTGGCACTGACAGGTAAGTCGTGTCGCTCCCTTAGCTGGAATTTACCTCGTGACCTTTATTTTACAGCGTTTAAATTGTCGGCATGTAGTGATCTGCTGTAACTGCTTTTGCTCGGAGATTATACTATGAATAGTCGGTTACAACCTACGAATAAATAACCACTCCGCCCCCAATACTACAGTGGGCCTGTCATTCACTTGTGCAACAAAGCTATTGGCGATTTCGGTTCTCACTATAAGCACTTGTTCACAAATAATGCAAATATTATGTATAAGTTTATTTAAATAAATGTTCGCCGTTCCTTGTTAAGTTGTTGCGTTTGGCTGAGCAGTGAAGCCGGAATTTCAGACAAAATTTGCCGACGAGTAAACTTTTTCGACCTAATACTATCGAAACGAACCCGTGCGTATACGGCCTAGTCATATGCTTGGAATGTGGCAAAGGTGCCGCCCTCTCGAGGCGTCGTGGGAAGGTGACCACTGTGGGTGGAGCTCACATTCTTAGGATGCAACCGACCGTAGTTTATATCTACCGATCTGGTCTGTTCAGCCATGCACCGATGTTCGCTCCTGTGTTGTCTTAAATCGAAACTGCTCTACAGTGACTAACTTCAAAAAAATTGAACCAATATATAATGAAATCGACACTGCGAAGGCCAAACAGCACACAAAAAGCAGGGAGCAGAAACGACTTGAAACGGCCTCGGCTAGCCTCATCCCGGCAAAGGACAGTCTGAGAACTATGGACTTTTTATTATGGCAACGTCAGTGTAAAAAAAAAAAAAAACTATGCCGATCAACTGTGGGCCGTCCGGCATGCCCAGGATGCCGCCCGGGTCCAAGGACTCGAGGCCGTCACCTAGGCCGGGGTGCTTGTAGCCCCAGCCCGCTCAATGACGCCGGACATGTTCAATAAAGTTTTTACTCACTCACTCACTATGCGCATTTATAAACCGCCCATGCACATTGTCGCTTTGTAAAGCGCATAAGTTCTACCCACTTTTAAACTGGTCACACATTCTCCTTACCTTTAAATAATTAGATGCCCTGTGCACCACACCCCGAACACCACGCTTTTATTCTATTCATTACCTTCAGCTGTGCTTTATAACACAGTCAACCACTACAGCTGAGTTTGGTGTTCTTGGGCGGGGTCGCCACTGACTTTCGAGTGAAATTCACCAAACGACGAGCGAAAAGTCGCCAAAAAAGTTGCCACTCTGCGAATGTGTGGCTAGTGTGGTTATAAAAATTATCTATAATCACTCAATTATCTTGACGTTTTTGAATGCCAGTCGCATCAGTCGCTTCACCACGGAGTCGCAGAAAAAGGTTATTCATGCTCAAGCAGCGTTTCTAAATGCTAGCGCCTCATAACAAAAGTTTGTGATGATTTGAATTGTAGGGAATAAAAAACGAAGCAGTCGCTACAACAACAAGGGTAGGGTAATTTTTCAATCTGCAGGAATGCGTAGCATTTCTGTACATTTAAATCGTCGCACTTATTCGTCGTGTTCTCTTAGAAGCTCACAGTCGCGAATGGAATCATGCAGGACATATTTTTTCTTTAAAGCTGCTCATCCTTGCGGAAAGGTAACAGTAGATCATTAGACAACATATGTGCATTGCAGAAGCAGCCAAGGCGAAGAAGGACAAAAGAGACGAGGACGAGCAGGACAACCCGACAGATCAGATGGTCAAGAACGAATGCTGGCTGATGCCAAACCCCCGTCGTTGCAAGGATTATGTGCCACGCTGGTTTTACGACACAACGTACTTGCTTTGCAAGCCCTATCTCTACGGCGGCTGCGGGGGAAGGAAAGTTAACGCGTTTAGGACCTACGACGAGTGTATGAAGCGCTGCACGTTCGAGGTGAGTCCGGCTGGATTCTCGTTTAGTTGGCAAATTTTCACGACTGCTAGCTACAGTGTCGCTCCTTGGCATATGCTGGATTTTGACGGATAGCACAAATGAAATGATGTTGCGTAACTGTGCATTTCATGTTGCGAAGTGGCTGACGTCTTGCACATAATTAAGCATCAGTTTCACACACAAAAAAAATTGTTAGAGGAAAGGTAATGGTACTTGGTCAGTAGAAAAACATGGCGTGATGCCAATGATCAAAAGATTTGGTTGGCTTTTTTGAGAAGGAATTATAACATTTAGAAGGATAAGGCCACTTTAACTAACTAACTAACTAACTAACTAACTAACTAACTAACTAACTAACTACTAACTAACTAACTAACTAACTAACTAACTAACTAACTAACTAACTAACTAACTAACTAACTAACTAACTAACTAACTACTAACTGACTGACTGACTGACTGACTGACTGACTGACTTGCCTGACTGACTGACTGACTGACTGACTGACTGACTGACTGACTGACTGACTGACTGACTGACTGACTGACTGACTGACTGACTGACTGACTGACTGACTGACTGACTGACTGACTGACTGACTGACTGACTGACTGACTGACTGACTGACTGACTGACTGACTGACTGACTGACTGACTGACTGACTGACTGACTGACTGACTGACTGACTGACTGACTGACTGACTGACTGACTGACTGACTGATCAACTGACTGGCGGACTAACTAACTAATTAACTAACTCAACAACTAAGCAAATAACTAACTAACTAATCAATAACTAACTAACTAAACTCATTATGGTGGTCTATAGTGATTATGGTGCTCGACTTTGCACTCGCAGGTCGCGGGATCGAATCCCGGCCTCGACGAGTGTATTTACGAAAAAAGACGAAAATGTTCTGGGCCTGTGTGCACGTGAAAAAAAAAAAAAACCCGGTGGTAAATTTTTGAAGCCCTCCACTAAGGCGTCTCTCATAATCATATCGTCGTTTTGCGACGTTAAAACCCAAAAACTTTTATTTAGAACCAACTAAGCTTAAACTTAAGTTGGTATTTCACGTTTGGTGTACTGCATGTGTTAAATGTACAGGCGGATGAATATCGGAGAGAGCCACCCTCATCGAAAATCCAAGCTAATACGTTGTGTCCGATAAAATACGGTATTATATATCTTCAAGTTTGTAAGCATGGAGAGGGAGATCTGAGAGTAGGGGGAGATGATTGTTAGCATGGAGCATCATAAGTAAAGTGTTTAGATAACAACGTAGCTGTAACTGGAAGCTCTTTACCTAAACCTGCTGGCAACTAATATAACGCGAACCGTATACAGATGTCGTGCAAGCTCCAAGCGTTTGAACAACTTTGAGAGCTGTGAGCCGTATTAAGTAGGCATAACTATACAACTGCCGAAAATCTCTGGAGTGAGGTCACAAGTGGATCATGCAAATGCTGCACCGCCACATACGATTCCTAAGTCTCGTTCGGAATAAAATAAATCTTGGACTGTTTGTATGTCAGCAATACCGCCTTTTTTTAATGATTAAACTACATGGCATTAGGCGAGGTGCTTCTCCCAGATGCGAGGAAAAATCTATCTAAAGATGGCTCCAGGTACTGATTAGCATTTGTTTGCTGCATGCCAGAAGTATAAAAACCAGCGGCAGTATAGGCGGCTGAATAATAATCGTGGAATAGTTGCTTCTAGGCTGGATGCGCTAAGCTTACCAACTTTCCTGGTTTGCGATGTCACTTGAACGTTAGCAGTTATAGTGGCAGTATAGCATAATGCTTGTACATAACTATAAAATTTACGCACATAATGGCATACGCGGAATACAGTGGACGTGCATAACACGCCCTTCATCTTTTGCATTATGCACCCAGGTTCCTGAAGTAGGAGGAAGGTCCGGAGGCCAGGCTGGTCCACAGGCCAGATTCAAGCGAGATAGGGCACGGAGAATGACATCCAGCTTGAACATGCTTTTGACTTGTTGTTTTAAAGTCAGGTGTTTGTGTTGCAGGAGGTATTAGGTTTTAAATAAAGGGTGAGCGTTGGCCCTACATGATGTTGTTCTTGCTTGGGAAGGACACACACACACACACACACACACACTACACACACACACACACACACACACACACACACACACACACACACACCACACACACACACACACACACACACACACACACACACACACACACACACACACACACACACACACACACACACACACACACACACACACACACACACACACACACACACCACACACCACACACACACACACACACACACACACACACACACACACACACACACACACCCACACACACACACACACACACACACACACACACACACACACACACACACCACACACACACACACACACACACCACACACACACACACACACACACACACACACACACACCACACACACACGCGCACGCACGCACGCACGCACGCACGCACGCACACGCACACACACTAGGTGATTACGTTATCCCGAATGATGTAATCTGTAATCGGGACGTCACCATGTCACCACGACACGCCAGGGCCTATGACGTCATTATGACGTGACAACAAAATGTAAAATCACGTGATGGCATCATCAGATGACTTCGTCTCTTTGGCAGTGCAATCCTCGAGGGAGTGTAAAAACCATCAATAGGGTGATGCCTCCCTCCTCTCCCTGGAGTGCATTAATGCAGCAGAAAAGATGGCTTCCGCCATCAAGTCGTTTTAGACGAATGCGTAAGAGGCCGCGACCATGTGTCCTGTTTAGTGGGTCTCCATTCGAGAAAGGAGGTGTAAGAACAGTGCATTTATTAATTTATGATGTAAACACAAAGAGCGTGACGGCAGATATAGCGTACATCACGACTTCTGCAGCGTTTGGAACGCAAGATAAGCCATCTCAGCTGCAGGAAAGAAGGCATTGTCTACGAGTTTTGAAACGGTTCGCATTGCCCTGGCACCCGCCATAGACGAAGTCACGACAGGTTCTGGATGAACTGTCGAAGTAGAAGGATGGGACGAAGGCACGGCAGGGTCCACGGTCAGGTGGGAAGAAGCACTGCTGGGGCCCACGCTGGGTGCTGGAGGCTGGAGTGGGAGAAACAGGCTTGTATGCCGAGGTTTGCAGAACACATTTGCTATTCGTTGTGCTGACGTGACCACTCCCTCATCTCACGTGCAGTCTTGGTAGGAAATAAATTATATAAGTAAAATTAATCTATTATAGGTAATAAATGAATTCATTTTGTGGACTGATCAGTTAGCAGCGTAATGAATTACTTCTGGTGAGAAATTTCAAGAAAATTAGTAATTAGTTTCTACGCCACTTTTGGTGCAAATATAGCATGCCCACTTTTTTGTGACATAAAAATTGACAAGAAAAAAAAAGGCCATGTATCTACATGTTTCACAGCAAATGTCGTCGAAAGACGATAGTCTTGCGTCTCGAGTGAGTGAACAAAACGCTTATTTAATGTTCTACGCAAGAGAATTGGTGACTGGTATTCTGGAGGCGCTGCGTTAGAGTGCCTCGATGCGTGCTGTGGAGGCGAACGAGCGCATCGAGGCACGTCACACATGAAACATGAACGCTCTCTAGCAGTTATCTTGGAAAACAAAGCGCGTGGCGTGTGCGCCCGTCTCGGAAGCGATAAGGTGTAGAACGCAAGGTGACAGGTAGGTGCCACCACCGTGTCGTCTTAGAAAAGCATTGGAAACGCTTTTCTTTTCGTGCAAGCGTTGCATTTTCAGCGTAGCGTGACATATTACAGCAGAGGTCTGCGGGCTTCGTGTTCAACGACCCCAATGCTGCAATCACTTCACCGCTTCACCTGGACAGCTATTGCTGGGGGCTACTTTGCATTTGCAGTAAACAGTTGGGGAAACGTTAACGAAGAAAAAAAAAACTGCAATGAAACGTTGCATGTCTTTGTGTACGATGCATGCAACTTGATGCTTATGTCATTGTAACAAATCTGTTTAGGCCTGCAAATATTGTTAACAGAAAGATGCAAAAGCATGGGACATAACAGGACACCGCCGAACAAAACAAAACATAAAAATGTAGCTGGAAATCTTGACACCTACTCAGCGACGTGAAGTTAACGGTTATTTAACTGTAATTGTTCACATCACTGACCGTCGTGCTATAGTTACGTTTGCATGAAACAGTAAGCAAGCATTAGAATTTTGCCAGCTTCGTTCGATACTACCGGAAGTTTTTCCTGTTACACGGTTACACACCTATCTGCCTTCTTCCCTTTATATTTTTAGACTTGCCCTTGTCAGGCCTGGAAATCACGTTTACTTCATGCAGTCAGGTTTACTTAGGGCAGCGTGGCATATTGTTTGGCCATACATGTTCAAAAAAAAATTTTTCCTTGTGTAGCACAAAAAAAAAAGCCTTTTTTTTCTAACAAACCGCAAGATAGAGGTAATACTGACGTAGCAGATACCCTCCATATTGCATAAATCATATAACAATTATGCAACAGTATGAAAAAAGTGCTTGTTTTGTCAAACAAAATAGTAAGTGGTAGTAATAAAAGGTCTTTAGGTCAACTGAGCTCTAACGAATAGTTTCCTCTTTCAAAGCATGTAATCGGCTTTTATATACAGTTTGTTCTTTTTGTCTAAAAAGCACGACATTTTAAAGGAGCCGAAGCAGACTTTTCTATGTGCCTTTTTCCACGTAGAGTCGCTTGCCTAATTCCCTTAGACGTAGATTAGACACCACAGACGAGTGATTCACCAATGCGGTTCACAAACAATATACTTTTTGATACATCGTCTGCGCTCTTCACTGCAGCTCCTAAGATGCCACTGGCTTCAATAATTATAGCTAACACGTTGAGACATGTGCGAAATATGCACGTCAGAGCATTATAGAATTGTGCAGCACGGGCATGAAACCTCTCTAACTGCAGGAGTACTTCGAAAGTAATCAAGATAAGGCTTGCAATCACAAATGCCAATACTATTAATCAACAAGAAACGAGCTCGCCAAGGTATGCTTACCTGTAACGAAAGCGGCTACCAACAACACTGCCAACATCGCGAGCCGACACATTTTCGACAAGGAAAGATGGCGGTGACCGTTCGCGATTGCCGGCGCCTCGAAGTATGAAGTCGATCACTCGAGTTTGTGCTACTTTTACCTTGCGAGGAAAGGATGTTCCGGTTTTCTGGGCGCGCCGTGTTGACGTACGTGTCGGCACGTGGTGGTACAAGGCATCGTCTGCGCGCCAACTCGAACGAACGATGCCTCTTGTGTTTTGCTTGATCAGGCGGTGGGATTTTCCCCAAATTGCCAGTGAGCGAGAAATCATACCGGTTTATTTCACAGCTAAACTGAACCTCGAGAGTTATACCGATTTGTTTTTCGTGCCACTCTTTGACGCCGTGCGTTTTTCCTCCATGTCTTTTTTCAAGAATATTGATTGATTTGTGGGGTTTAACGTCCCAAAACCACCATATGATTATGAGAGACGCCGTAGTGGAGGGCTCCGGAAATTTCGACCACCTGGGTTTCTTTAACGTGCACCCAAATCTGAGCACACGGGCCTCGACATTTCCGCCTCCATCGGAAATGCAGCCGCCGCAGCCGGGATTTGAACCCGCGACCTGCGGGTCAGCAGCCGAGTACCTTAGCCACTAGACCACCGCGGCGGGGCTTTTTTCAAGAATAAGTGGACATATTTGTGTTAGGAGAAGTAATAATAAGAGTAATACACATATAACATATGTGTTTAGCAATACACATACACATACACATCTGAATTTACTGAGCCTCGTTTTGTTTATGTTTTTTCAAAGTTTGTCACGTGTAATTCCGGTCTGTTGTAAACATTAGTGGGGGCAATTCCTGTGCGATAAACACCTTAAGTTTCAATGATAAATATATCAGAGCACGCGTGTGTTTATAGGATTTGCAAGAAAAAAGAAGAAAAAGATATTTTGGCTAAGCCGCTGGGCTGCTGACCCGCCGGTCGCGGGATCGAATTCCAGTCGCGGTGGTTGCTTTTTTGATGGAGACGAAAATACTTGAGGCCCGTGTGCTCAGATTCAAGTGCACGTTAAGGAACGCCTGGTGGTGAACATTTCCAGAGCCCACCACTACGGCGTCTCTCATAATCCTATGGTGGTTCTTGGACGTTAGACCCCAATAACTATATATTATATTTCTAAAAAAATTGCGAATGTATAGTCACGTCCTGTAGCTTTTGCATATATAGAAATGCTCATGTTAATCATTCAAAACTTCTTGTTAACTAGTTGTTAATCATCTGTTGTTGCTTTTGTTAATAAGGTGAACGTCACTTCAGGTGCGTCAAGGCATTTCCGCCTCGGCCCACAGCCCACAGTCCCTGTGTGGAGGCGCCTAACGTCACTGCATTTCTCTCTCTCTCTCTCTCTCTCTCTCTCTCTCTCTCTCTATATATATATATATATATATATATATATATATATATATATATATATATATATATATATATATATATATATATATATATATATATATATATATATATATATATATATATATATATACACGGTCTTAAAAAACGGTGCACTGCATTTATTGAAATGTGAGAAGGATAAATGACTTTATTTGAGTAATTCAAGTGAATCTAGCAGTTTTTCTCTGTAAAAGACGAGGCGTAATCATGGGCCGTACATTTGTTCGGTCTAGCTTTGTTTCAGGCTGCTTGAAACCGTCCTGTCGGGGCATACCTACCTGCATGCACTTGTTTTCACGCTGCTTGGCTGTCTGCGGCGTCAGGGCGCAACCTGCCGGGGTGTGCGGTCATTGAGGGCACAGCTGACTCATGTCTGTCAGTCAGGCATCTAAGGGCCAACCGAGCGACTGACCCACCGACCGACCATTTTGATTAATGCCCTAGCCTAGCAATAAAAGCGGGCTTTGTCGAGCAAAACTCGGAAAGGATAAGCGAACTTAAGAATACCCCGAAGAAAGCAGAAACATCTGGAAGCGCAGTAGACGAGGACGCGAAGGACGTCCTCCGGACATCCTC